AGACACACACACAGAGACACATACACACAGACAGACACATACACACATACAGACACACACACACAGACAAACACACAGACACACACTCATGTCACACACACACAGACACATACATACACAGAGACACACACACACAAATACACAGACACACACTCATGTCGCACACACACACACACACACACACACACACACGGCACAGGTCCCACCATCCTCCCAGGCTCCTGGTTTCCCCGCCTTGGCCCTGGCCTGGACTCTTCCCTGTCCTTTAGCTCACACATCCAATCAGTTGCCATATCTTGCTGATTTCTCCATCCACATCTCTCCAGTTGGGCCCCTTCTCTCCCCTCCCACCTGAGATCAGGTCTTCATTGTCTCTCAGCTTGATTATTGGACCAGTCTTCCACCCTCAGGTCTCTCCCCACTCTACTCTATCATCTACATAGTCACCAAAGTGATTCTCCTAAAGCTCATACGTCATCAGTGGCTCCCTGCTGCTTCCTTGGGGATCATATATAGTTTGGCATTTAAAGCTTTCAGTAACCTGCCTTCATCCTACATTTCCAGTCTGCTTACATGATGCTTCCCCCGCCTTGCCCCCAAACTGGCCTCCTGACTGTTCCTCACACATGACTCCATTTCCCCTCCCCATGCCTTTGCACTGGCTGTCCCCCCCACCTGGCATGCCATTCCTGCTCACCTCAGCCTCCAAGCTCTCTTGGCTTCTTTCAGGGCTCAGCTAAGTTCCTACCTTCTTTCTTCAGGAGGCTATCCCTGACCCCCAGCTTCTAGTGCCTTACCCCACCCTCGGTCACCTTGTATGGTGCTGGTGTATGCACAGGTTGTCTCCCCCATTACAAAGTATGCTCCTTGAGGGCAGGGATCATTTTAATTTGCCTTCATACCCCCAGCACCAGGAACAGTGTCTGGCACACAGTAGGACTTAACAAATGCTCGTGGATTGAGTGAATGGCGAGTTCTTGGGCCACAGCCCCTTGGGACCTTCTACCAAGTTGTACAAGGGTTGAGACCTGCTTCAGTGGAGGGTGTACTCACACAGAAGAAAAATCCCAAGGTCTCCCACATCTGATCCCTTCTGTTCACTCCTCCCTGCTCCCCCCACCCAGTTCAGGCCCTCACTGCCTTTCACCTCCATTACTTCAGCAGCCTCCTGAGTGACCTCCCTGCCTCCAGTCTCTCCCTACTCTCATCCATCTCATACATGGCTGCTGCCAGAGTGATTTTCCTTAATAGCTGTGCTGACCATGTGACACCCCCATGTGACAGTCGCCTCCCAGGGCTCCCATTGCTTCTAGGATAAAATAAAAACACTTCTGTTTAACTTTATCAGCTCTGCAAAACTTGGCCCCAACCTCTCCTTCTAGCCTCCTTGGAAAGTACTCATTCACCCTCCTGAGAGCCAGCCAAACTGGCCTCCTCTCTGTCCCTCACACACATCTGACCCTACATCTCCCATCTCCATGCCTTCGCACTGGATGTTCCAGATGCCTGGAATGCACTCCCTCCTTACCTCCACCTCACAGAGCCCCTTTCTTCCCTTCAGAGGCAGCTGAAGCACCAGCTTCTACATGATCATCACAGGTGAGGATAAGAAACCATCTCAAATCAGTAAATGATCTGTTGCCCCCATTCCTAGCTGGCTGCTTTAGGCTCCTCTTAAAATCCTTGACTGCTACACCTGGGATTTCAGCCGCTCCTGAGCTACCTTGGCTCCTTTCTGTTCCTCAGCTCGCTTTCCAAGCCAGGAGCCATCCTGGTTGTTTTCCTAGGATCCACAGATTTAGAGCCTGAAAGGAACTGGGAGGGCATTTGGTCTAATTTGCTCATTTTACAGATGATGAAACTGAGACCCAGAAAGGGGAAAGGACTTGCTCTTGTGGCACAGCTAGTAAATAGCAAAGCCAGGATTCTAACCCAGGTCTTGACTTTAAAGCCAGTCCTCATTTCCATTTCCCACTGTGCTTCCTCCACAACCTGGCCTTGACGCTCCCAGAGGCATTGTAGGGTGCCACAGGGGATCAGAGTTTGAATTTTGCTAGTCACTCAACCTCTCTGGGCAAGGAGGGCTTTGGACTTGATGCCATCTCAGGTGCCTTCCAGCTCTCAATCTATGATCCTGTGAGCTTGAAGCAACCGAAGAGCCTCCAAATGGCAGGGGAGGAAATAGGGAAGGGAAGGGAAGGGCAAAAGAGAAGAGAGAAGAAGAGAAGGGGAGAGAAAAAGAGAGAAGAGAGGAGAGAAGAGAAGAGAGAAGAGGAAAAGAGAAGAAGAGAAGACAGGAGAGAAGAGAAGAGAAGAAGAGGAGAGAAGAGGAAAAGAGAAGA